TCATCATCTCTGACACACTTGAGCCCATTCCAGTCAAGAAAATTGTGGATCAGCTCCACTCTGGAACACATAGGTTTATCTTGAGTTGGAATCTACTTAACGGCAATAATTTTGTCTGTCTTTTTCTCAGGAACCGAGGAAAACATTTAACTACACATAACTGTAAACTCCAGAACATACGTTAACTCATTTCGCATTCATCAACACTATATAGTTTCCCCTTATTACAGACAAGGACACTGAAGCACAGAGCTTAAGGACCGAGTTACTGCTCACCTAGCTCACCTGTTTTCACGGACTTCAGTAAACCTTCCTTGCCCCCGAGGCCCTTCCTTCCTGCTCCACCTGCCCTGCTTCTGAGAGGGATACTCACATGCTCTCCTTTCTTCCCCTAACTTTATCCAAAAGCCAATAGTTCATTGATATTTTTCCATGTATAATCGCCTGCTCAAATATAAGAAAAAGCTGAAGACACAATATTGAATGAAAAAACCAGTATGCAAAATTATACATATGATAGGTACCTATGAGTGAGAGTGTGTGTGTGTGTGTGTGTGTGTGTGTGTGTGTGTGTGTAAACCAAATCAAGCCCACAGCTATCAGTCAGTTCTGACAGCACAGCTTCTTTGACAGACTAGGATCTCCCCCTAGAGTTTCCAGGGCTGGAAATTGTGACTGAACCACACTACCACATCTTGCTCCTGCAGAGCAGATAGCAGGTTCCAGAACTACCTTCCAGCTAGCAGTAGAGCATTTAGCCTCCCTGCCACCAGACCCCTTGAGTATGTATGTATGTGCATACTTCCATATGTGTACCTGTAGGGAGCTCTGGCAGCTTAGCCGTAAAGAGTTGCACTGCCAACCCAAAAGCATGTAGTCTGAGTCTCCCAGCTGCTCCGCCGGGGAAAGATGAGCCGTCTCCTCCTGTGTGTTTTACTGCCTGTGAAAGCTCGCTGGAGGATCAGCTATGCATTGGTTGCACATAATAACAGCATGTGTGCACGTTTACACCAACCTCAAACTCGCTGCTATCAAGTTGATTGTAACCCAGAGTGACCTGTTGAGTTTCTCAGGCTGTAAATCATAACAGGAGACTTTCCATTTTTTCCTCTTCCAGAACAGCTGGTGGATTAGCAGCACAACTTGCTGCAGATTACACGCACACATATATTTCCAACCCAGTGGCTGTTTATTCTGACTAGCGGAGACCTCCTGTATAATGCAGAGTACTCCTGAGCTCCATAGCGAGCTCTGGTGGCGGTGTAGTCTGTAGGGAGTTGGGCTTTCAGCTGAAAGCTCACACGCGCCTCTGGTGATCCAAATCCACCGGCAGCTCTGTAGGAGAAAGATGGACAGTTCCTCCTATACAACTCACAGGATCGGAAACGCAAAGGAGCGTCAACTATGAGTTGGTTCTGAGTGAGTGATTAAGCTGCATCGGATTTTCTTGACTGTAATCTTTCTAGAGGTAGATTGCCAGGTTTGCACCATCAACCTCTGAGGTAGCAGCTAAGCGCAAACCATTTGTAATACTTGGGGAAATTCTCTCTCCCCATCTCACCGTGTGTGTGTGTGTGTGTGTGTGTGTGTGTGTGTGTGTGTGTGTGTGTATACATGAAGAAAGAAACTTTTTTGTTACCTTTTGAATTTTTCAGATTTAACTCCATGATACATCTTTCTAAGAAGCAAACATGATGTGCAAAAATTACTTCTGTCCACCAGATGCTCTGCTGGAGAAGGAGAGGCAATCTCTTCCTGTGCCAGCCAGATCTGATTCAATAGTACATATAAGAAAAAAAGAAAAAACTTCATTTTGTCACTCATGTATCATTCTGAGGTAGTATAATTTAGTAGTGAAGAGATGAGTCTTATAATCAAAAGGGCATTTCAATTAATTCTATCTCCACAACTTACTCTTGGTGGCCCTGGAAAGAATGCGTAGCCTCTCTAAGCCATTATTTCCTCCTTTGTAAACCTGGAATAGTGTATAGGGGACTGTTGTGAGGATTAAATGAGATTATCAGTGTCCCCAAAACACACAGTGCAGAGCCAACACATACATGGTCAGTGATTCTAAAGACAATAGGTAGATAGACAGGTTACAAACCACTCGGGATGGCTGCACTGCTCTGCAGTGTGTCACCTCCTGGTCGTGACGGTTAGAAAAACCATTAGGTCAATGGGGAGCTCTGGTGGCCTAGTGGCAAGAAGCTGCACTGCAATCCCAGAGGAACACGGTTCAAATCCACCAGATCTTCTGCCGGAGACGGAGGCGCAATATCCTCCTGTACCAGTCAGATCTGATTTGACGGGACACGCACACAAAATAAAAATAAAAAAAAGAAAAACCATTAGGTCGTAATCATTTTGGATGTATTTGCTTTTGGCATATTTTATTTTGACAATTAGACATTATATAAATATGTGGCACTGGGAACTGCTCGGCTGCCAGAATATTGGAATTAGGTTCTGATTTTATATGTGTTTGCAAAGATAACTAAGAAAGTAACAGTCAGATGGGTAATTTAATGAGATAATTGTACTAGGAACCTAATTCATGTCAACGTGTCTCTCCAGAGAGTGCCACTTATGTGGTATGATGATATCTGAAAGATAATCTTGTCCTTTATCTTTATAGTGAAACTGGAAACATTAGAACAATGGTTTTCCCAGTGATGTATCTAAATGAGGTAAGTCTTGGGAAGGGGGCACAGTATGTGCTATTATATGCTACATATGAAAATGATGTAGCACAAAATGCCACAAGGGTAACATAATGTCCCAGAGATCCACAATGGTGGACAGGTTTAGTAGAGCTCCCAGATTAAAACAGACTAGGAAGCAGGATTGACCATCCACTTCTTAAATAACAGGCCTCTGAAAACCCTATTAACAGTAGAACACAGATAGTTAATAGTATTAGTGGTAGAACCAAGATTGGAAGTCAGTCATAATGAGGAAAAATAATAGCAGACATCCTTTAATAATTGGGAATGTACAAAGCTTGAATGTTGGAAAACTAGAAATTGTGAAAATGAAATGAGCTTGGTGATAAAAATGAGGCTGGAAATGGAATGATCAGATTTTGTATTTGCAGTGAAAATGCAAATTTTCATTGAAAATGCCTTTAAACACACACACACACACACACACACACACACGCATGCATGTGCGCACACACACAAATAGCGACTTTACACACACATTGACCTCACCTGATGGGCTGCATAGGAGTCAGATTTACTATAGCTGTGGAAGGAATCACTGGGGAAGGTCAATATCAGCAATCAAAACTAGGCCTGGTCAGACCATTAATTACTCATGTGCAAGTTCAAATGGTGGCTGAAAAAAATTAAAAAATGTCCACAGGAACCAAAATATGATCTTGAATTTATTCCATATGAGTTTCAAAATCATCTTAAGAATAGGCTTAAAGCATTGAACACTATGATCGAAGACTTGCCAAGTTGTGGGATGACAGGAAGGATATCACCCATGAAGAGAGCAAAAGGTCATTACAAAGATGAAGAAGAAAGAAAAAATTGTAATGGATATCAGAAGAAACTCTGAAAATTGCACTAGAGTACTGAGAAGCCAAAACGAAGTAATGAGATACTGAGGTAAAAAGAGTTGAACTGAAGATTTCGAAGGGCAGCTCTAGAAGACAAAACAA